CATGCTGCTCACACAGAACCATACCCTCCCTCCCCGCCGGTCCGCAAAGCCGGAAAGGTTGGGGAAGTCTGGTCTAAAGAAGCAGATGTAATCAATAAGTGCACAAGACTCGCTGGCAGGAAAAAACAGATCAAGAGCCTACAAATCTTAAGTCACTTGATCGAATGTGTCTCTTACGTTTTTGTTTTCTTGCTAGTGTTCAACATGCACACAAATACAATAAACTAGCACTTTATTCTTTTATACACTAAAATTGAGATGTGTTAGCTGTTGATGAATAACACGTAAAGGGGTGTCTTCTTTTGTGTGAGAGTGTTTGAAGAGGAAATATTTGTGCATAATGAATCCTGACTTGTCTCCAGAAAGTTTGCATTCTGTTTTGTGTTTTGCATCTTCTGGTCAGGTGGCCATCACTCTCCACTTTTGAAATAAGAGAATCATATTCTACGGTAGGTTCTATTCTTTTCTAGGCTTTTCACTAGGCTAGTATAAGGAGCAAAGGTCTATTACTGCAGTTAATTCACCCAAAGTAATTCCTTTGTATCTTAAAAAAAAACCCCACTATCAAGATAAATCATACTTCCACATTTTGAGGGTTTGCTGCCAAGTCAGACTTTGGCTATACAATCTGGGGAGTTCTGGGACTGTAAAAGAAAGACAAAAATGGCCCAAAAAAGATAGAACAGAACCAGTTTTCAACCAATTCTTTTATATTGGGCCACACAACTCCAGGTAAGGGGTTCTGCTAAAGTTCTGCTGAGCATTGTCAGCAGAGAACATGCTTCTGTCCATTTTACTTGTGCTCTTTCAGACAATTCCAGATACAAGAACTTTTGAAACATGATGGTACAAACCCCAGGAATTCCTTGGACTGGGACACTTGCTGGTAGGCAGGCAGTAAGGAGAGTTTTGTCCTAGCTTGTAAGAACCTGATTTTATCTAGAAATAGGTCCAAGGACATTTGAAATAAAGCTCCTGGTGACATGTCATTTACACCCTTCATCTTTTCAGCAATTAACTTGTGTGATGTAATTGAACTGGCTGTTGTGAATGTTCAGCCAATGTTGTATTGTGCTCTAATCAGGAATGGAAAGATTCATATCTCACATAGGTAAAGACTGACTAAAATCCCTATTCTCCTAAATCTGAATAGAGGGTTGACAGATCCCAACCTATTGTGTATTTGCATGAGTCAGAGATATGCATTATCATTAGGAAATATGTCCAGACGAATCGTGCAAAAACACAGGAGTGGCGTGGATAAGTTCCTCCCAGAGATGGAAATAGCATAATTGGCTATCCACTTCTATTAAGTCAAAGGAGATCCAGGTGACTCTCTGACTCCCATGTCTACTTTGGATGGCTTGACTGACCGATTTGGAATCTATACAGAATTGCTGCCCATCTGATATACAGCAACTGATTAAAAAAAGAAAAACACATAGTAAAACCTGTATCACAAAATGTAAAACAAAATTAAAATAATTATAATGAAATAGCCAAGGAACCATAACAGACTCGTAGCACACTTACACCCGTACTGGGTTTAACATCCTGGGCCAGTGCCTGAGACAACATCAACACCTTCACAGCTCTTCCAAGGAGTCAGAGCCCTTGGACGGAGGGGAGAGGCTGTTCCACAGGGCAGGTGCCATCAGAGAGAAGGCATCAATGTTAAGATATAGCTGAGCAGCACTGAAAAAAGTGACATGACAATTTTGCACACGACCATTGCAGCATCCCCATGGTCATGTGATCAAAATTCAGATTCTTGGCAATTGACTCATTGATGACAGTCGTAGTGTCCCGGATCATGTGATCACCTTTTGCAACCTGACAAGCAAAGTCAGTGGGGAAGCAGTGATTCACTTAACAACTGTGGCAAGAAAGATGGTTAAGATGGAACAAAATTCACGTGACAACTGTTTCACGTAGCAACTGAAATATTGGGCTCGATTGTGGTTTCAATTTACAAGAGGGGAATTTTTTGTGCGTGTGTGCCTTAACTTGTGCAAATCCAATGTCAAAAGCGTGCAAAGAAAGAAAAAAGAAGAGAGACAGGCCAACTTGGAGGCGCGCTGCCTTAAGCCTGGATCAAAACAAACCGACCTCGGACCACCACTCCCACGCTTCCTAGCCAGGCGAGGGGAGGTTCTGGGAGTTGAAGTCCAACCCTGGTGGAAGAAAGGAAGTCGGGTTTCTTGGCTCGGGCTCCTTTAAGCGTTGAGAAACTACTTCTCCCGGCAGGCGCTGCGCTCCGTGCGCGACGACTTCCTGGCCGCCGTCGCCCCGCCGCCTCCAGGGCAGCCAAGATGGCCGCGCGCTGGAGCAGCGAGAATGTGGTGGTGGAGTTCCGGGACTCGCAGGTAGCCGGGGCCGCTTTCGGGGCCGCGCGGGGCCCGTTCCACGGGCGGCCTGCCTGCCTGCCTGCAGCGTTCCCTCTCGTCCCTCCCCGTCCCTCGGCGCTCGGGGTGGGAGGCATCCCTGCCGCGCCTCCCCCTTGGGCGCCTTCGTATCGTCGCACGAAGGGACGCTGCCCGGCGCCCACTTGCCCGGGGCTCGCCTCAGCACCCTTCGGGCGCGTTGGACTACAGCTCCCATCGTCCCCAGCAACGGGAGGGGAGGAGCCACTGTTGTGACTGTTTTTTCTCGACTAAGGCAATAATAACCACAACAGTAACAACTTTGCAAAAAAAACCCAACACTTTAGTTGGAACTGCCTATAATATACTGAGACGTTACCTTAAACTGTTAAGGCTTAACAGCTCTTAGGTCCTCGGTTAGGACTTGAAGGTTTTTGCCAAGCCCAGACTGTGAATCGAATTGAAAATTAAATCTTTGCTGATGCTGATAGCTTTTTCCATTCCAGCGGAGTCTGAGAGGCTTACAAAATGTGCTAATTAAAACAACATTAACAACAAATTAGATAGAATGCAGGTGTAAAACTAGGGTTACATGTGTAAAATATGTGTAAAACAAAGTCTTGTTTTAAAGATATTTTGATAGTTCTTTATATTCCTTCTCCCACATTGTAGATTGTTCCTATCCAATTATGCTCTAATTAAAGTTTCTTACAAACTAAGGCCTTGTCTACAAAACAGATTTGTAATATGAGGTATTCATAAGTCTTTAATAGCTAGTGTTTGTCACTGCTGATTAAGGTTAATAGTTAAAATAATCCGTAGTAATGTATACAGATATCTAGATGTATAATATCTTCATAAACACATGCCTATAAATCAGACATCAGGGAAGGTATTTATTGGCTGGATTTGCACATTGCACCTTGGCTCTTTACGTTTTACGTGAACCAACTTTTCTAGCTAATAAAATCAGATGTGTGGTTTAGTATAATGAATAAACGCAGCCAATTCTGATCTAGGGAACAAATTGTCATATAGTCTGATATGTGAACATGCATAGGCTGAAGTCACAGTTATGCTAAGTTGTATGTTCTATTATTTACAAGCTTTCACAGGGAACAAATCAAAATGTGGTTTAGCATGGTATATGAATTAGGTTTCTATATTGTTCCTTTGAGAAATATACTGAGACATGAGGTATAAACTCTCTCTTTAAGGGTCTTTGAATGCTGGGTGCTAGTGGCATGAAATGGTAATTACCATCACTCCTGCCTCTGTTTCCTTCAAAAGATCATGATGGCAAGTTGAAAAGTAAATGTTCTAAAAAAAATAATATTGCTCATACTGGCCAGAAATCCATAAGGAAGGATAACACTACCATTATTCTGGGCAGACGGAATCTGTACATTGTTATAGCTGAATGTATTCAGTTTGATTAAATCCTTTATTTTCCAGTTTTCTTGCTGACAGCATAGACACACGATACCCAGGAGACTTACAGGACTTATTAGTTGTAATGTGTATGCAAATTAGACTAAGCCTGGCTAGTTTTAAATGCAGCCTTCCTGCTCATTTGTGGTTTTTGCATATCACAAAAATGGGTATGTTTAATAACCGTAATTTAACCATATGTAAATCTAGCTACCATTTCATCAGTCCCATGCCCTTGAGAGAAATACCAGCTCTGATCTAATGCTTAGCAATCAACTGCTTTGTTGCTGAGCATAAAATTCTTTTGCGCCACCTGAGGGGTTTAAGAGTGGGAACACTGTTGAAGGAGTTTGTCTCCCTCTTTAGTGGTTGTTGATTGGGATGTGTGTGTGAGGTTGTGCACCTGGTTTTGTGCAGGTACAGGCACGGCTATTTTTGTACAGGTAGGCCTCGACTTACAACCATTCATTTAATGGCATCCCGGAAAAAAGTGCCTTATGACCTGTTCTCACACTTGTGACGCATCCGCATGGTTATATGAACAAAATTTGGGCACTTGGCAACTGGCATGTATTTATGACAGTTGCACTGTCCCTGGGTCATGTGATCACCATTTGTAATCTTTCCAGCCAAGCAAAGTCAATGGGGGGGGGAGCCAGATTCACTTAGTGACCGCATGATTCCACGAGTCATAAAAGAGCCAAGGTTGCCTACCCCTGGTTTAGCCTCATATCCTCCCATCAAATAGGCTGATTTAATAGCGTGTTGTCCCTGATGATCAGATGTATTGTTTACAGTCTGAAGGAAGGCAACGTCAACCCTTTTTCGTATCGTTGTCAATAACACTACACATTTATATAGTCAGTCGCATTTTTGCTACTTTTCATGTATTATTTATAAGCTGAGGGAATTCATTTCTCTCTTATTTTCACAGGCAACAGCAATGTCAGTAGACTGTCTTGGGCAGCATGCAGTACTTTCTGGGTGAGTGCTAAAACCTTGCGGTTCCTGTTGGCAACACCTGGGATGGTACGTGCTGATAGGTACAGAGGGAAGAAGGAAATCTTGCCCAGGGTGGCTTTTCCCATTTCCCAGAATGTTGTCTCCTTAGTGAGGTGGAGGAAAAGGAGATTGAAACACAAGCAGAACTTAATGAAGAGAGATCCAAAATCAGACTCCATGACCCTAATAGAGGGGTCCCCAATCCTAGAGCCCCCAGGGGGCCCTATGAGAAATTGTTGCTTCAGGATACCATGGTTATTGCTTTCATTGCGAAGTAGCCAGTAACCTTGATTAAGTTGAGGCCTTCTGATTTCTGTGGGTTTACTTTAACTATGAGTAAATCAGGATCAAACTCAACGACTCTTATCCCCTTTCCTGATGTTCATTCCAGGCTTTTACAAATAAAGCATTTCCAGAAAAACAAGTCTTGTGGCACTTAAAAAGTCAAATACATATATTATGCCATAAGGCATAAGCTGTTAATGTGTCACTATTCATCAGAAGCCTAGTCTGACGTGGCTACTCCCCAGTACCATTTTAATGTCCTTATAAAAACAGAGTTAACCTAGATTTTGATATTCCTAAGAGAGTTACACAGCAGCCTACATACCTTTCTTTCTTTCGAAAGAATCTCCTCCACTAAAGTCAAAAGAACTTCAGAAGAGTGCTACCTACAAAATAGAATCCTTTGGGACTTGGGTGTTCTCTGAACTAACTTGTTTCCCTGGAGAACCAAGCTAGGTAATTTCACCTGTATGAATCTCCTTGTTTATATGTAACAGCTTGCCCTGCTGGCCTTCGTTGAGGCGTGCTTCTTGATTTTTGATTAGGGTCCTGAACCATCAGGAAAGAAGTTACACCCAAATCAGGACAAGCTCCTGCATATAAACAGCCAGCAAACCTGATGACGTTAGCTGGTAATGAAATATCTGCAGGAAAACAACCAAGAGAACACCAAGAACCCAACATAAGCTACCTATATTCTCCACTGGGGAAACATGGCAGCACGGCTTACGGCCCTAATCCCAGCCTCAGTTACAATCATACCTTGAGGACTACCTGTAGCTGAGGATCGGAGTTTCCCTCCCGGTCACGGCAGTGAATTACTTTGGATCTACTGTAGTAAGATTCCTTCCTGTGTTTGTGGGCTTTTTTCCAGGCGCCGCTTCCTCTACATTGTTAACCTGGATGCACCCGCCGACGGCCATCGCAAGATTTCCCGCCAGAGCAAGTGGGACATTGGGGCCGTGCAGTGGAATCCCCACGAGAGCCACGCCTATTACTTTGCGGCATCGGTAAGTTCTGGGGTGGGTGGGGGGGTGTTCCTTCCCAGGGGGACTCTAGTAGTTAATGGGATGGTGCTTCTCAAGTGTTCCAGCTTCCTCACCCATTAGGGCCCAAGAACAATGTAAAACATCTTCTCAAACGCACAAAATCACGTTCCCTTGTTCTACATTTATATTCTGTAGAAGCTGCCGCATGGATATCTCGTCCACATTTGGGATGTTTACTTATTTTTGTTTGCATCCCATCTTTATTGTTTTCACAAATAACTCAAGCCGGCAAACATATCCCACACATGTTCCTCCTCTTATTTGCCCCCTCAACGACAACCCTGTGAGGTGAGTTGGATTGAGCTACTGGCTCAAAGTCACCCATCTGGCTTTCATACCTAAGGTAGGACTAGAACTCACATTCTCCCAGTTTCTAGCCTAGGTGCCTTAACCACTAGACAAAACTGGCTCATATAAGCAGAAGGAGCCAGGTTGCACCTATTCTGACCCATATATTTTATGAAAAAGTATAAGCTTTGGAAGCTCATAAAAGCTTATATCTTTTAACAAACGTTTTGGTCAGAAAAAGTGCCCCAGGCTGAGATTCACTTGCCCACTCCTACAATATTTACACTTCTTGGATATGTGAGACTTAAGATAACATCCTTTCTTAATATATCTTAATAGATACAATTTTTAATTTTAATTTAATTAAAATTATTAGTTTAGTGATTATTATGATTTAATTGAAATACATTTTTAATTGAATCAAAATTAAATTTATCTTAATAGAACCACTTTGGTGTAGTGGTGTAGGAGCTGGGCTAGAAGCCAAGGGACGGTGAGTTCTAAGTCTTAGACATGAAAGCCTGCTGTGTGACTCTGGGGCAATCCCTCTCTCTCAACCCTACCCACCTCACAGGGTTGTTGTTGAGAAAATGGGCAGGAGTATTCTATATAAAAAGATGGGATAAAAATCTAATAATACCTGCTTGTGGGCAACAGTTGCTTCTTGCTTTGGTGTACCTCATATTTTTATACTTTATATATCGCAGCTAACACATTTCAGAATAATTTGTGTCCTAAGAAACAAAACAATAATAAACTTTTGAGCCATTACAAATTTGAAAAAAATTATATGAATTAGAGTTCAGCTGTAAAACAACAACATCGGGCTTTGTTTGGCTATTTCTGAACATTTAACATGGGAGATGGAAAGATGTCTCCCCTTAAGAGAACTCCTTTGAGACCCTCAGTAAGTGAGCGTGTGGGGAAACTTTCTAGCCCAAGTATCGGGGAGCATATTTCTCTTGGGGATAGGATTTTGAGCAGGACCCTTTTTTTAAAAGCTAAAGGAATGCTCCCATTCTTGAACATCGTTTCTCAACCTTAAGAGCTTGCAGGTGTGTGACTTCAATTCCCGGAATTCTCCAGTGCTGTCTGGGGAATTCTGGGAAATGAAGTCCACACATCTTCATGCTTTGGAAAATGAGTCTGTGGTTTTGTTTGCGGCTCCTGATGTTTTCTGTCTAATTTCAGAGCAACCAACGGGTGGACCTGTATAAGTGGAAGGACGGCAACGGGGAAATTGGCACTTCCTTGCAGGGACACACCCGTGTCATCAGGTAGGGCTGCCCCAGGGAGCCCAGGGCTTTTTGAGCCAGTAATGCAGCGGCAGTGCTCCTTTCTATCAGCCCTCCTGCTGCCCCTTCTTGTTCGCAGCACATCCCTAGCAGGGACAGGAATATATCGAAAGAGTTTAGCTTCGTAGTCTCTGAGCTACAAGTCTGTGTTGTCTTCAGTGGAGGCCAGGCCAGAATTTCTCAACCTTGGCTACTTGAAGATCCGTGGACTTCAGCTCCCTAGCCACTCCGCTATACATCTCAGAGAACTACCAAAATACCTTCTGCTTACCGCTGCTCAAGAGCACTGGATTGGCAGACGCTGGACTCCGTAGTAGGGCCAGCTGTTTTGCGGTGTTTTTACTAGAACAAAACTCCTCTTCCGATAATCTCTGAAAAATGTTGCTGGTTCCTCCCAGAAATCTGCCTTGTCGAAACCACGCTCCAGAATGAATCGATGTAGGAAGCACAGAATGCATAGTTGGTGGTTTTTTTTAAAAAAAATGTTATAGTCCTTCATGAAGCCCTGTGCAAAAAGAGCAGCCTAGGAAAAGAGAAGCCAAACAGGGCAAATTTCCATTTTCTTGCAAAATGCTGGTATGGCTTTTCCTGACAGCGCAGAAGGTGATGGGAAGTGACTGCACAAAGCCTTGTCATTATAAGCTGCCCCCGTTGAGCTCTCCTGTTGATCTGTTTCAGGGCTGAACATAGAACATAGAATAACAGAAGGGACCTTCTACCCCTCTACCTTCTGTCAAGTTCACTTTACCTTCCACAAAGGAATAAGGCCCCTTTATGACCAGTGGACTTCAGCTCCCAGAATCCCTGCACCAGCCATGCTCAGGAATTGCTATGCTTGTGCTGTCTCAGGAATTGTGGGAGCTGAAGTCCATAGCTTGTAAAGAGGGGCATAGTTGCCCACCCCTGATAGATTTATTTTCTCTTTTTTTTCCTCTGCTTTTTCTAGTGATTTGGACTGGGCGGTGTTTGAGTCAGATCTACTGGTTACCAGTTCAGTTGACACGTACATCTACATCTGGGACATCAAGTAAGAGTTTTGGTGGCCTGTAAGAAGACAGACATAGCCACTAAGTATTTTGGGGGAGAATGGATGTTCCTGTAGGGCAGGGGTCTTCAAACTTGGTCCTTTTATGACTTGTGGACTTCAACTCCCAGAATTCCTCAGCCAGGCACGCGTGCCTGGCTGAGGAATTCTGGGAGTTGAAGTCCACAAGTCATAAAAGGACCAAGTTTGAAGACCCTTGCTGTAGGGCACCCGTGGCAGCTGCTGCTGTTTTTGAGTGGAGCTCTTCAAAATATTTAGGGTATTATTAATATTGTCTTCTCTTATTATAGCTTAGGGAGTGGGCTTTGCCTGTGCTATGGTGCAAAGAGGAGTTGAATTTCCACCCATGTTTTGTGTGTTTGTGTATGTCTGTCTGTGTGTGTGTGTGTGTAGATGAGGTGAGGGAGAATTCTGCGAAACTGAATTACAGGTTGTTCTCAACTTATGACTACACTCGGGACCCGAAGTTCCATTTTTAAGCGAGGGGATTGTTAAGCGAATCGCCCCTGATTCTACTACCCTTTTGCCATGGTGGTTAAGTGAGTCGCAGTCACTAAGCAAATCCAGTTTCCCCCCTTGACTTTGCTTGTTGGGAAAGTGGCCGATGGCGATCACACGACCCCAAGATGCGGCAACCCTCTTAAATAAGGTGCCAGTTACCAAAGCACCTGAATTTTGGTCACGTGACTTGGGGATGCTGCAACAGTTGCTAGTGTGAGCATCCGTCGTAAGTCACTTTTTTCAGGGTAACTTTGGACGGTTGCTCAATAAATGGTTGTAAGCCGAGGACCACCTGTGTTCCTTTCTGGCATGATGACCCTTAAGCCGCTGAAGGCAGGCTTCTGGCACGTACTGGAATAATGTCATTGCTGGACCCAGTTGCTTCCAAGCCCTTTGACCCAAATTTTGTCATATGTCTTGTATGGAGCCCAAAAAGCAAGTTCCCTGCTCAATCTCTGCAATATGTGCCAGGCTGGCCGCGCAAACCACACGCAAATGGTTTTGTTGTGACTCTGGTGCAAGTCAATAGGAAGACGTCTCGTCTCTTAAGGAGTGGTGCCTGCTGCACCTGGTGCGTGAATCACAGCGTCAGGCACGCCTCTTTTCAAGCAGGGTCTGCCTTGATGGGTGACTCACGCAGAAATAGCAAGGGTGATCTCTGTAGGTGGATTTATTTTAATCCAGTGCATATGCTATGAAAGTAAAACCCCCCCCTTGGGTTTCAAAGCAACGTATGCACCGAATTCTAATTAGTGGGTGGTGGGAGTTTAGGAGAGCGTCGTTAAGCTGTATGTTCTTATGGCAGCATTGTTGTGTTTCAGAGACACCCGAAAACCTACTGTCTCTCTCTCTGCTGTTGGTAAGTACCAATGGATGACTAGCCTGGTTGGAAATCCTCACGGCTTGCCTTTCATGGGGCTTCTGCACACATCGTGGGCTTGACCCCCACAGAGCATCATTTGTGTCTTCTCCCAGGCACTGTGAAACCCCGTGTCAAATCTTTTGTTCTGAATATTTCCATTGCCGCCCTTTCCTTCCTCCAAGTTGCGATGGTCTCATTTACAACTGTAGGATCATAATAACAGGACACGGTGGTAGGGAGAAGCAGACTGCCCGTGTTTGCAGGTGGTGTCTGAATACATAAGGGTGCTGGATACGCCACTCATGAGCGGTACATAGAGCATGGAATCATAGGGCTAGAAGGGAACTTGAAGGTCTTTAGTCCAGCCCCCTGCACAAGGCAGGAGACCTTATACCATCCCGGTCAAATGGTTGTCCAAGCTATTTTTGGAAACCTCCAATGATGGAGCAATCCAGGATGCAAACTATTCCATCAAGTGTTCTCACTGTCTGGAAATTTCTCCTTCTACGTTAGATCTCTTTATAACAAGCTTCCACCTATTACTTCCACCTATTCGTCCTGCCCTCTGGTGCTTTGGAGAAGTACTGGGAATACCTTGTTTCTTGTGTAAATTAGCTGGTAGCCCATGGCAGCACTTGATTTATAAGTCCTCTGGAATGTGGTAGACAAGTAATTCTAGCTAGAACATAAAGTCTTTTCCTTACTCCTGGAGGCCAAACGTCCGTCATGGCAGACAGGAGGGCAAGACAGTGAGAAGGTTGCTTGGAGTTGTCACCATCCTGTGACAGCTTACAAAAGCCGCATGAGTTGATTCCCCTGCAGCACTTCATGTTATAACTCGGGGGTCCATTCCTTTCTTGGAAACGTCTTACGTCTACACCAGGGGTAGGCAACCTTGGCTCTTTTGTGGACTTCAACTCCCAGAATTCCTGAGCCAGCCATGCTGGCTCAGGAATTCTGGGAGTTGAAGTCCACGAGTCATAAAAGAGCCAAGGTTGCCTACCCCTGGTCTACACTAACCCTCTGGTGCTAGCAGAGCCCCAAACCCTACTGTGGTTTGAATGAGCCGGAGTGGTTTAGCTCTGTTGCAGTGACCTTGTTTCTTTCTGGAAGGTGTTTGTTGACTCCTAGTCTTCTGCTCCTTCTGCAGCTGGAGCCTCCCAGGTAAAATGGAATAAGAAAAATGCCAACTGCTTGGCAACAAGCCATGATGGGAATGTGCGCATTTGGGACAAAAGGGTGAGTCCTCGTTTCTTTTCCTTTCCCTTGCTTCTGTCTAAGGATTGTGTTTGTGTGTGTGTGTGCGTGGGGGGGGAGGGGACAGTGGACATTGCAAGCTGCTTAGAGCCTTTTGCTCTCTGAAGCCTACTTCACAAGCATTACATTGCATCCACGGTTTGCGGTAAATAACAATGATAAATGATAGCTTATGGGTTATTAGACAAACCACAGTGACTGGGTTCACACAATACAGTCTCCCCAAATCAAACAAAGAGCATTAAGATTTAGTGGAAAGAATATGGTGCAGATATCCTCTGGGAGGTTCTGTCCCTTAACATACCCTGTGCAGGAAACAACTTGTCCCTCAGTAGGAGAATTTCGTCATCCTACCATTACTGGGAAAATTCATTTGATTCTTGCAGCACAGAAATAACCCAGTTTTTCCACATGACTTCCTGGATCTTGCTGTTTGGAAAGCTTGAACCCTGGGCCATAGTCTCTACGTTGTACCTGTAAGGAATGCAAGCGCTGGTACTTCCTGCTTTGCGCCTCCAGGTTGTCTTGCAATTCCACTTGCATTTCAGCTTCTCCCATCTGTTGAAGTGGGAGTTGTGGTGTTGTGTGAATCCAGGTGGTAGTGCTAATTAGCATTCATGTGTCTCTTGCGACTGAGATCCTCTCTTGAAAGGCCTTTATATACTTCGTAAGTCTTTTTATTTTTAAAGTATTTTATTAATTTTCTATTATTACAGTTCATTCGTGCTTAACCACCAACGTGTTGTCTGGCTTAATTTTTTGCTTAGTAATAGAAGTCAAGTTCTTAACTCTCCACCTCGTTTTCCCATACACTTTGCAAGACTTGCTCTTCGTTAACACACGGCACAGGACGGAACAACGTCCTGTGGTTCTGCGCCCTGGAATTTGCTGCGGAGGAGAAGCTAAGAAGCTTCCAGAAGACGGCCTGGGACATCTCGGTGGGATTGCTGTGGCCTCTTCTGGAAACTGTCCCACAAAACCTTCCCCTCTGCTTTCAGAAACCAAGCACTGCTGTGGAGTATCTGGCAGCCCACCTCTCTAAAATCCACGGCCTGGATTGGCACCCAGACAATGAAAACATTTTGGCCACCTCCAGTCAGGACAATTCCGTCAGGGTAAGTCGGTGGGACTGGGTTGGCTGGGCTGGCCTCGGGGGGTTTGCAGGGACATCCTGGCCTATTTCTGTTAACGCCGGTTAAGCATCTTTCATCTTGAGTGGCCTTTTCTCTCTTTTGTCGAAGTTCTGGGACTACCGACAGCCCCGGAAATACCTCAACATTTTGGCCTGTCAGGTTCCGGTCTGGAAAGCCAGATATACGGTAAGGAGAGCCTCCGTGGAGCCCAGGTGGAGCAGAAAGGCCGGCTGTGGGTCTCGCTCGCCCACAGGGGGGGGGCATGATGGCCCCTCTCTCCGAAGAGAGCAACTAGGTCAGGGGTAGGCAACCTCGGCTCTTTTATGACTCATGGACTTCAACTCCCAGAATTCCTGAGCCAGCCATGCTGACTCAGGAATTCTGGGAGTTGAAGTCCATGAGTCATAAAAGAGCCAAGGTTGCCTACCTGTGAACTAGGTGTTTTTGGGCCAGGAGCTGCTGGAGGGAGGTGGCAGTTACATGGTGCCCTCACTGGAAGGGGAGGGGTGGAGGTCCTGGTGACCGGCCCAGATTGGATCCTGCAACATGATCCTGGGACACCTGTATTCGCCCACATGCTCCCTTCTGCCCAGCAGACCTGTGCAACTGTAGACCACCTTGAAAAGCGAAGCGCAGGTGAGCCGATAACCTTCCTCCTTCCCCGTTTCTAGCCTTTCAGCAATGGGCTGGTGACGGTGATGGTGCCCCAACTTCGAAGAGAGAACAGCCTCCTCCTGTGGGATGTCTGCGACCTCAACACACCAGTTCACACCTTTGTGGGACATGACGACGTTGTGCTAGAATTCCAGTGGAGGAAACAGAAGGAAGGTGTGTGACCGGGGACTGGGTGGGGGTGGGGGTGGGGGTGGAGGGGGCTAGGGGGGTGATTCATGGAGCAAAACTCACTTAACCGTCTTGCTTAGCAACATAAATTCCGGGCTCAATTGTGGTCGTACGTCAAGGACTACCTGCACAGCGCAACAGTTCCAATCTTCCAGCGTAGTATGTTTGAAATCCCACAACACATTATCCAAAAGCTGATAGATAATGTCTAATGATTTTGCATGCCGGGATTATAAGCAGGCTCTTTTTTGATTATTCTTATGTCACCCACCGATAAAGGCAGAGATTTTCCTCTGTCTGAAATGTTGAGCTGAGAATCTGTAAGCAGCAGCTGCTCAAGTTCTTAGCCTGGTGGAGCCCATTGGCTCGGCGTGCGTGGCACACCCAGAAATGATGAGAAAAGCTGTCGGTTTTTCTTTTTACAGGTGCAAAGCAGGCTGGTCTTGTAAGAATCTCTGGAGTGCTCAGATGCTAAATAAACTATTGATCTTAATGCGTCAGTTTACCCACAAACGTTGGCCTTGTCTGCGGTACAATCTCTTATTTAAACCTTTACAGGAAGTCCTTGACCTACGACTACAGTTGAGCCCAAAATGTATGTTGCTAAGTGAGGAATGTATGGCCTTTCTTACCACAGTCCTTAAGTGGATCGTTAACAGTTGCTAAGACAGTAAACTGGTTGTTAAGTGAGTTTGGCTTCCCCAGTGACTTTGCTTGTCCAAAGGTCACAAAAGGGGATCACGTGACCTAAGTCCCGTATGACAGGCGTCTCCTCTCTTCCTTGAAGGGTCAAAGGACTATCAGCTGGTCACCTGGTCTCGAGATCAGACCCTTCGGATGTGGCGAGTGGATTGTCAGCTACAGCGGGTAGGTCCTAAGCATTTGGAAGGTTGCAAAAGGGGATCACACGACCGCAACCGTCATAAATATGAATCGGCTGCCAAGCGTCTGAATTTTGATCCTATGATCATATGGGGATGCTGCAAGGCTTCTAAGCGTGAAAAATGCTCACGTTTTTCAGTGATGTTGTAACTTTGAATGGTCACTAAACCAGCTGTTGTAAGTTGAGGACTACCAGTATAGGGCCCTAAACCACAGGATCTGTCCTTCCTTCCTTCCTTCCTGGCACCTGAGCTGGGTCAGGCTGTTTGCCCCTCCCTCCTTCCCGTACGTTGTGTTGGCTAACCGTTGGCTTGGCTTGGCTGCATTCCGCTACCTTTGCTGCCTCTTGTTCCAGTTATGCTCCAGTGAACTCCTGGAGGGGGTGGAGGAGCTGATTGATGGGATTTCCCTTCTGCCAGAGGCGGACAAGGCCCTGCCGGTCCAAGACACCGAGCCCCAGCAGAACTTCACCCACGGGCAGGAGGAAAGTGAGTATCTTTTAGGGGTGGGGAATGATCAGTTCACTTTAGGGAGGGGGTGTGAAATCTTTGGATTCTACATGGATTTCACATTTAAAAAAAGAGGGACCTTGTTCGCACCATCGCTGCCTAAGACTAAAAATTCTTCTCTCTCTCTCTCTCTCTCTCTCTCTCTCTCTCTCTGACAGTTTTCAAAGAAGATTCCCAGAAAATCTTCCTGGTGGGAAAGAAGCTAGACCAGCTGGGGCTGCCTCAGACCTTACAACAGGAGTTCTCTCTGATCAACGTGCAAATCCGCAACGTAAATATGGAGGTGAGAAGACAACTTTTATCTGGCTACTGGATAGAACACAAGATTTCGGAATTGCCTGTTAATTCCTGGAGATCTCTCGCCTTTTCCCTTGTCTTTCCCGTTTTTCCTTCATTGTGGCTGTCCGTTCAGAGGCGGAGGGATAGGTGCTGTCCATGGTACTCTCTGAGCTTGGTGTTTTTCCTTGCAGACGTTTCATTACCCAGCTAGGGAACGATCCGTGCTTGAAGAGAGTGGGGCTTGCTTTCTGTTTATATACAACTGACTTGTCCTGTCAGTGTCCGTGGGAGTGTTTTTGGTGGTTCCTTGATCAGGCTGCTGTTTACTGTTGGATTGTCTGAGTTGGTAGTTCCTTCACTGGGGTTTATGGTTTACTTCTTGATTGCTGCTCTAATCTTAACCTTGGTGTTAATCTCCAGGGTAAAGAGAGGGCAAAGCCCACTCCCTTCTAGCACTGAAGATGTTACCACGTTGGGTAATGAAAGGTCTGCCAAAAAAACCACCAAGCTGTGAGAACACCAAGGAATCCACAGTTCAACCCTGAGCAATAAATGCTCTCTTTTATTGAGACGTAGGTGCTTGCACTGGGCATGGGTCTGGAGGACGCTTTTTGGCCCTTGGGCTGTAGATGTCTTCTGCAGGGGGGGGTGTTCTGTGGTAGAAAGCAGTAGGGCAAAGCAAGGCTTGGCAGCACACGGTGGCCCTTTGGGTGGGCACAGGGCAGCAGGAGACCCAGACTTGCCATAGGTGCCCCCCTAGGACTTCCCTGGATTTTCCTTGGCCAAAACCTGGATTGACCCAAACAGTTTGGGTTGCAGTTCCGCTAATCCAGGGCCTGTCCAGAATACAGGTGGTCCTCCACTTACGACCGCAATTGAGCCCAAAATTTCTGTGGTTAAGTAAGACATCTGTGAAGTGAATCTTGCCTCATTTTATGACCTCCTTGCCACCAACTTGGATTTTTGATCTCAGCCACATCTGCTTGTAGCCCTTGCCCTTTTGGACTGTTTTTGGTGGTCACTGTGCTTCGTTTATGGCTGCTAAAAACGGTTCCCCCAAACGGCTCAAGGCATCGCGCCAAAATATATTTTTCTTTCTCAAAGGCATCCACACGTATCTGACTTCATCCTTCAGGACAACATCTGGCCTCCTTAGCTTCGTATGGGACCGGTTTGCATTGCCAGGGGCACCTTCGGCAGTGTGGAGCCCAAGTTAGGCTGTCCTAACCTTTCTTTCCTGCTTGGCTCTGGCAGATGGACGCCGTCAATCGGAGCTGCACAGTCTCGGTGCACTGCAGCAACCACCGGGTGAAGATGTTGGTGATGTTCCCTGCCCAGTATCCTAACAACGCTGCCCCCTCTTTCCAGTTTGTCAACCAGACCACGATCCCTTCCACCATGAAGGCCAAGTTGTTGAAAGTAGGTCTGTGCCTAAACGGCTTTCCCGAGAGAATGTTGTTAGCAGGAGCTGGAGAGGGGGAGGCATATGCCAGGGGCAAAGGTCTCATTATCAGCAAGCATCTGTTTTGTCTGCCTGCTGCATTTTATGTCATCTATCTATCTATCTATCTATCTATCTATCTATCTATCTATCTATCTATCTATCTGCTGTCCATCTTGTAGTGAATGACTCTGAACGACTCCACAACCGTCCCAGTTTCTCATCTGCCTCCATCTCCATCCATCCATCCATCCATCCATCCATCCATCCATCCATCCATCCATCCATCCATCCATCCATCCATCCATCCATCCATCCATCCATCTATCTATCTATCTATCTATCTATCTATCTATCTATCTATCTATTTAGTTTGTATGCCATTCATTTTGTAGTAAGCGACTCTGGATGACTTCCACCATTAAAACATTAAAATCCTAACAAATATCTTTAAAAGGATAAAAATAGAAATCCCAATCAAAATAAAATATAGTTAAAAGTTGGGGAGGGAGGGAACAGGATGTGTGTGGGGGGGGGGGAGGTGGGATTGCCCCTTTATTCAACAACCTTCCCCACTGTGGTTCTCCCCGGTTAGGGCCCCAGGCCATCCAGCAGAGCCAGGTTTGCAGGCTTCTGCGGAAGAATGGAAGGATGGGAGCCAGTCTCATCTCGGGCCAGGTGTTCCAAAGGGAAGGAGCCACAGCAGAGAAGGTCCTTCTCCTGAACCCGCCCACTGGAATTCCTTGACCGATGGGGCCTGCAGCGTGTGGCCTCCTCATGTGGCCCTTTGGGGAAATTAATTGCCCATCCCTGACAGTTCTACAGCTTTAAATTGTGGTGTGTAGGCTCGGAAAACAACTCAACCCACATCTGCATCTCTTTCAGATCTTGAAGGACACTTCCATGCAGAAAGTGAAACGCAATCAGTGCTGCCTGGAGCCATGTCTACGCCAGCTGGTGTCCTGCCTGGAGGCTGTTGTGGTAGGAAATGTGTGTCCATTTTGCCCCCAAATGTGGCCTGCCTGTATCAATCCCAAATTTAATTCTGGCCCTGGAAAAATGGAAGGAGTCCTTGTGGTTCTTAAAAGGGCAGAGAAAGTTCCGGACAGGCATTTCCTGGTACCCAAAATAAATGCGTTAAGCCTCACAAAGGCTTGACACTCTTGTTTTAAACTTTAAATGGTCAATGGAGGGGGTGGGAGGTACTACTTCAACATACCACTTGACATATGTAAGGACCCGCTTCAAAACCTCATCCCAAGAAAGCAGGACTCTTGGAACATTTCCATCCCAAAAGGAACTTTTATTAGGAGAAGCTGACAGCAGGCATAGAAGGCAGGATCTGAGGGTTTCCCGCTCAGATCAATAGGTTAAAGGAGCATCCAGCAAACCCCACCCCAACAGTTCATCCGGTCAGTTCAAACGGGCCAATCCCCAGGTGCTAAGTCCTCTGTGGGAACGAGGCTGATAAGACTCCATTCCCAAAGTTGTGAAGACATTGTTGGGTCTTCCCACCGGCCGGAGGCACATTCCTTTCTCACCCCAGGTTGGCATCAAGGGGAAACAGTTCAAAGGGCAAGCAGATAGGAAAGGCAGAGGGGATACATTGCAGCTAAGCAACAAGGAGAAAAGATGCATTCCCTGGAGCCTCCCCCCAGGAGAATGACAGAACCCACAGAAAGAATCCGAAAGGAACAGAACCGCGCGCCCCCCGCCCAACAAAGAAATGGGCTCTGACATCATAATTATTTATTTGTATCCTGGTTTTATTATTTTTACAAATAACTCAAGGTGGCGAACATGTCCAACAAACTTTCCTCCACCTGTTTTCCCCACAACAAAAACCCTGTGAGGTGGGTGGGGCTGAGACAGAGTGACTGGCTCTAAGCCACCCAGCCGGCTTTCACGGCTAAGGCAGGACGGGAACTCCCAGCCTCCTGGTGATTGGCCCAGAGTCAGCCAGCCAGCTGGTTTTTCACGCCTAAGGTGAGACTAGAACTCCCAGCCTCCTGGTGATTGGCCCAGAGTCAGCCAGCCGGCTTTTCACGCCTAAGGAGGGACTAGAACTCACTGTCTCCTGATGCCTAGATCAAACTGGCTGTCAAGGGTTGTGTTCTGGATTGTGTAGGTGCAGAGATGGGATTAGGGAGGCGTACACAACCCACATGCTGCCCATTCCTGGTTCGATGTCCAGGGTGGTCTTTGTGAGAAGCGGTTGCTGTGAAGTGGGGAGAAAGGTCCCCCAAGGGTCTTCATTCCGTGTCTTTTCAGAACCAGGAGGACACCTCCTCCAGCGACCCCTATGCGCTCCCAAATTCTGTAACGCCGCCGTTGCCAACCTTTCCGAGGGTCTCCAACGCCTACGGCTCCTACCAGGATTCCAATATTCCATTTCCACGAACCTCTGGAGCGAGGTTCTGTGGGGCAGGTGAGTTGAACCTGAACTCTAGGAGGGTGGGAAAGTGGAGGACAGTGGCCAGATGTCCTGTCTCCTCTGGGCCGTCAGAAAGAGGGACTGTCCACTGCTAGTTTGTTACAGCTTCTGTACAACCAGCGGTCGCTCTAATGCTACACGTTCAGGAACCCAGAAACTAACTTGTCGTCTTCCACAAAATACAGGCATCCCTGAGCCAAGCTGAATTCTGATTACTGCATCTCGTAGTTATTTTGGCAGTCTTACAGAAATAGCAAGAGCACTTAGACTTATATACCGCTTCACGGTGCTTTACAGCCCCCTCTGAATGGTTTACAGAGTTAGTATTACTATTTCCCCCCCCCCCAACACTCTAGGTCCTCATTTTACCAAGCTCAAAAGGGTGGAAGGCTGAGTCAACTTTGAGCCGGTCAGGATCGAACTGCTGATCGTCGGCAGAATTAGCCTGCCACACTGCATTCTAACCATTGCACCACCACGGCTCCGAATGTTTGGCCAGCACCATTTTCTGGGATATTCCCCCCCTCCCCCTCAGTCTGGTAGCAACTCTGGAATTCCCAGGTCATACAGATCTGCTCCAACTCTGCTTATGCTTGGAGATACTACATGACCAGGGGGTTATGCAATTGTTTGAAGTTACAATGGAAACAACACCCCCCCCCCCAAAAAAAAGGAATTATGGCCTGGTTTCAACTTCCAACATTCCTCCCCTCATGGTCACATGATCACAATCTGGACATTTGGCCACTGGCCCAAATTTGCAGAAATTTGCGGTGTCCTACAATCAAATGATTTTGATTTATGATGGCTTTGCTGGAATCTGACATTTCCTTCCAGTTCCGGTGAAAACCGGCACACAGCCAAACTACGGGTGTGTTGCATTGGTTTAACAACCTCCCCCCCCCCCAAAAAAAGATCATCAGCTTAGGCCCTACTTTACAGTGGTCGTGACGTACGACTGTAATTGCCAGGCACAGTTACTGTTCTAAATCGAGAACTACCTGTACGGTTGGTGAGCAGACCTGGGTCCTTTAAAATAATGAATGAATCATAGATTCTGAACATCCCAGAATTTGCACAGGGATTAATGGCTGTTGGGGCCTCTCTTTCCATCCAAGGGCAGCTTCTCAGGGTGGGCTTCTCTCGATTGTTTCAGGGTACCTGGTCTACTTCACCAGGCCGATGACGATGCACCGCACGGTCTCGCCTACCGAACCAACCCCGCGGTAAGTGGCAAGCCTGGGCAAACCGTGGCCTCCCCAGATCTTCCCAGCTGCAAGAAGGCAGAACTGACTTCAGTGAAGGAGTCCAGATGCATCTTTTCAGATTAAGCAATTTCACTAAAAGGCATAAGCTTTAAGAAACCTTGTGGTTTTTTTTAATAAAATTGGTTCGTCAGAAAAGATGCGACTGGATTTGCAACCCTAACTCTTTTTTTTTTTTTTTTTAAATAAATTTTTTATTAATTTTTCATTAAAAAAACAAAAACAAACCTTTTATCACAATATCAGCCAAAAAGAAATCAACATCAAACAATACATTCACAGAGATGTCCGGTGTCCCCCTCCCGCACCCCTCTTCACCTACCTACACCTTCCTCCTCCTTATCTTACCACCACTCCTCCTTCCTCCCTCTTTCCTACTTCCCTTTCTCCCTCAATCATCCCGTCAGTGCAGTTGGGGTATCACCGGGCACCTCCTTAAAAAAAAAAATCATACATATATATATACATCTAAATCTATAATAAAAACCTAACCCTTTCCCCCACCCCCCCCCAGGACTTCCCAAAGCTAATCTAGGAAATAAATGCAGCAACCCTAACTCTTGTCAAAACTTTCTCTGGCAATTGTACAAAATCCAGAGCCTTGGATGGCATGTGTAAGTCAGGAGCTTTTACGCGGAGCGAGCGAGATAAAATAGCGAAGTTAAATTTCGACCCATTAGCGAAGACCGTGCGACATAAAAAGGAATTGCCCTTCGCAGCCCGCAGCCTTGGCCTTCAGAAACAATTGACTGCCATTGCAAAAGCATCTGTGCCTTGGGAAATTTGACATAGCAGCTGTGCGTTGGGAAATTTGAAAACTACCCCATTCTTGCCAGAAATGCCCTGAGGAATTTTTTCTTCCCTTTGTAAAGAACAGTTTCCTGCCCCAAAGACTCTCCCAACAGTGAAATGGGTAAGGTAGTTACAACCAGTCACTTAGCAACCGTTGGCTTCTCACGACTCAGATTTGAATTTTTGATAGCCAACCCCTCCCCCCCCCCCAGTCCTGTGGTTGCATTGGGGCACTCGGCAACCAACCTACATTTGGGGGTGTTTGCTACCTCCTGTATTCACATGAGCGTGATTTATGGCAGTTTTTGCTGGAAACCAGCAATTACTGTAACCACCACAAAAAAGGTTGTGAAATCAATCGTGGTCACATAGTAATCCGCTTAACAACTAGCATTAATGAATTCTGGACTCCATTATGGTGGTAAGTCAAGAATTATTTGTAATGGGCGAGTCTTCACTCTGAGAATAGCCACAAAAGAGAACAGCGCTGGTGGATGTAATGGCATAATATTTCAGGCTAGCTGTTAGCCTAGTTCAGGGGTAGGCAACCTTGGCTCTTTTATGACTCGTGGACTTCAACTCCCAGAATTCCTCTGGCTCAGGAATTCTGGGAGTTGAAGTCCACGAGTCATAAAAGAGCCAAGGCTGCCTACCCCTGGCCTAGTTGGAAACCGCCTCTGATCCACATGGAGGACCTCAGCGTGGGAAAGGCTGAAATACTCTGCCGAGGAAAGTCATACGCTGGGTGGACATTTGGTGTCTGAATGTTTGCGGTGTTCTGTGCGGTCAAGATGCTCCACAGCTCTTTGCTGCAAAGAAGGGGCATCTGGCTGGAGAACGACCCAACGTCTTCCCCTCTGTTTCAGATCCTTGTCAGCCCTCTCGGCCTACCACAGCGGCCTCATCACGCCCATGAAGATCCGCACAGAGAACCCTGGCAACCTGCGGCTGTACGGCGGGAGTCCCACGCGTAGTGAAAAGGAGCAGGTCTCCATCAGTTCCTTCTACTACAAGGAGAGGGTAAGCCCACAGCCGATGACACGTGTCTCCCAACACTCTGGCTGGTTTAGCGACGCCTGCTGAGGGGCGACTTTCTTGGTTCTTTTTTTTTTTTTTTAATATTTTGCTTCTCATCCAAGAAGTTCTTCAGTTCTAACTAACTGGTGGGGGAATGGAAGTTAGTTAGAACCGAAGAAGCTTCTTGGATGAGAAGTGAAATGTTTTCAGAGAAGAGGAAAAAAAAAACCACAAGGAAGTCCAGATGTATCAGGCCTCTCCTGGCCTGGGCATTTAGGAAAGAAAGATCCTTGACTCCAATTTGTAGCCAAATGGCTTTTACTAAAGCCAAGTGGTTACAGCATAAGCAAAGCCAGATCTGAATCTTCCTGTGTAAACCTGGTGATTTTCCCTTCTCCCAGGATCTTCCCCCCCACCCCCCCGCTTGGTCATCTTGAAAATGTCTAACGATAGTCAAACTAGGTGTTTTGGTAACAGTTCTCAAATGTGGTGCCTCTTTGGTGGGTGCTTGTATTCCGTTCCCACATCCGTTGTCTCTGGCTGGCACTTCTGTTTCCTGTCATCCCCCCTTCCCTATTTCCCCGCCCTTTTTTATGGCAGGGGGCCATCAAAGCAAAGCAGGGCTGAAGCGGTTATGATGGCAGATCTGACTGTTGCCTTCTAGAAAAAAGCACTTTTGGGACACCTTGAAGCTGAGCTGTCCTAAGGCAAATGAAGTGAGGAGGGTGTGCAGAAATGTCTGTAGAATTCTGATTTGGGACTTCCTCCTGTCTAATGCACGCAATAGAACAGCCTTTTCCTGCTCACTAGGAGTTACAATCCCTGCACAGTTAAATATTCCAAGTCAGGAAAGGTTGCATTATGTGCAAACCTGGACAAACCCACCTTTGGCAACTGGAAGGTTATCCTTTCCTGCAGTCTATCCAGAGATGCTCTTGGTCCTTCTGGGGAAGGATGTAGGCTTGATGGTGCAGCACATGCTTTGCCTGGAGAAGGATCAGTCCCGATTGTTTTGGTGTTTGTGAAAAACCCATCTTCGGCAACCTGCCGCTAACTGGACTGTGATGTGACTCGGTTTAAGGTCCCTGTGTTCCTGCTTTGGCTCCCTTCTGTAGGCCTCCTCCCTCCCCCAAATACCACAGCCCTTCCCTCTGTTGCTGCTCTTGTCCTGACTGCCTTTTCTGAAGCCTTAGTATAGCAGCTGCTGTTGTTTGGTTCACTAGGGCAGAGTCTGGAGAGATTCCCCCACTCTCAAAGCTTTCCTGCCCTCGAAGATGTTGCATTTGGGCTGCTCTCCACCCTCCCCATCCCTGACAGAGGTCTCTCCTCTTGCAGAAGTCCAGGAGATGGAAGAGCAAACGTGAGGGGACCGAGGCCAGCAGCCGGCCCATCAAAGCAGCTGGCAAAGTCATCATTCAGGACATCTCCTGCCTGCTCCCCGTGCATAAATCATTGGGGGAGATGTATACGTGAGTACCTGTGCAATTTGCCTAGCACCATGATGGCCCAGTGGTGAGAAAGCAGCATTGCAGACTGACTTACTGTCCACTGCCAGGAGTTCGATCCTGACTGGCTCAAGGCTGACTCAGCCTTCCATCCTTCCGAGGTCGGTAAAATGAGGACCCAGATTGTTCGGGGTGATAGGCTGACCGCTTAGAGAGAGCTGTAAAGCTCTGTGAAGCGGTATATAAGCCTAGGTGCTAGTTGTGTTGTGTTGGAGGGAGGCAGGCACAGCCACCTCATCCTAGTGGGAAGAGGAGGGTGATGACAGAGGACCTGTCTTCTGAAATTTAGGGGTGCAAAGAATTTATCTACCTGAGGACAAAGCATTTGGCTTCTGCTCGGAAGATTGACTTCTTACAGCTCCCCACAGCCCCCAGAAAGGGAAGGCCCGGGGAATAACGGAGCACCACAGAGTTCCCCAGAATGCGCTCTCCTTGGATTGGCACATCTTGCCCATCCTTAACTGAAATCCTCTCTCCTTCTCAGTTTGTTACAAATTTTCCAGAAATGGCTTGCCCGGCGGTTCCTGATGTTACTGATAGGGTGTACACATGATGTAAGCCATGAGGTACCTTGCATTAAACCAGAATTGTCTGGACTCGCTCAAAACAGCAAGTCCGAAAAGGCTATTTACAAACCGTATTGACTGGTTTCACACAGCCTTGTTAAGCCCTAAATATTTAGTTGTGTAAATCCAACTAAGGTGCTCTGTTATGCAATGTGGAATGCACAAGACCTGGAGGGAAACACCCAGGCAGGCAGGCAGGCAGGGAGGGAAGAAGTCTCAAGCTGAGAAGTAGCCTTGAGACCTTGCCCAGCCAGAAGAGGTCCAGGACAGATCTTCCCTCCCTGTTGCTTGGAGCCTCATGCAATTATTCCCAAGAGAAGGCTGCCAAACGGGGGAGATGCCATATAATAGGCAGAATATAATAAAGTCATTAGCTTGAACTCTACAGATGTGGATCTGGTTGTTTGCACATGTCAGCACCTTAATGCTTAATGCAAGCACTCCCCTAAGATGGTTTTGTTTTTCTTTCCCAGACTAGGTGCTGGGAAATTAAGCTTTTCCACCTGGCAGCTGGGGGTTTTTGCAGAGGAAAACAACTGTGCATCCTTCAGCCCCCCCTCTTCTCTTTCAGACTAAATGTGGTGGATATTCAGGAGACCTGCCAGAAGAACGCAGCCTCAGCCTTGACCGTGGGACGCCGAGACCTCTTGCAGGTGCTGCTCCTTCTCCGTCACTCTACAGCCGGAGTCCCCAAGCCGTGGCCCAGCACCAGGCTGCGGCCCATTGGGAACTGGGTCACGCAAGAGGCAGGCAAGAGCGCGAAGCTCCGTTTTCACGGGTGGCGGGGACTCGCACGTGTGTGAAGCTCCACAAACGGAGCTTCAAGCATGCCTGCAAGTCGCTGCCGCTCGCAAAAACGGAGCTGCGAGCGCACGCGCCTTCCACTCGCACAAAACCATTTCCTCTGCCCCCCTCTCCCCCGCCAGTCCACAAAGCCAGAAAGGTTGGGGACCACTGCTCTCCGGAGACCATCTTGAAATGTCACCGAAACAGGAGACCATGGTTTAAAAGAAAAACCCCTTCTCCTTCATGTCTCCCTCCTGCCTCCCACAGAGAGCCTTCAGCCCCTGTTGTTGTGGGGTTTTTTTTGCTCTTCTGAGTGTCCCCTGCCCGCCCGCCCCAGCTTCCTTTTGCCAGGGTCTCGTCTGATTCAGGTATTTGAGGACAGAGATGGATAGAACATTTACTTCCTTTCTTTTTTGCTGTGGTTCTTAAGTAAAACGCTGCAGTCGTTAAGTGAATCCAGCTCCCCCCACTGACTGCATAGTGGAAGCCAGCTGGGAAGGTCACAAGTGGTGATCACGGGACCTCAGGAGGGCAATCAACAGTGGTAAACGCCTGTTGATTGCCAATCCCCCCAGCTTTGATCGCGTGGCTGGCGGTGCTGCCATGGTTGCAAGTGTGAGGACTGGTTGTAACTTTGAACAGTTGCGAGAATGAATGGTTTGCGTAACCCAACCCCCAAACAACCAAGGCTCAACCATCACCCTGCCGGGAGGCCTGGGACAACAGCCGGGTCTCCAGGAGATTCCTGAACCTCATTTGAGACGGAGCCCTCTGGATCGTGCAGGATCATCTCCCAAAAGAGAGTGATCGAGGTGCCCCGTTTGTCTCTGGAAAGCAATCGAGAGCTTGCACAGACAGCATCGTGGTCATTTTTATCCTGGTTTTACTTTGAGGGAAATCCTAATTAATTAGGTGGATTGTGGTCTGGCTGCTGAATCGTTATATGCCGTGAGTTGCCTGAGGTTTTTACCTATAACAGCATCTCTCTGATCCGGCCTTCTCTTCCAGGTTTGGTCCCTGGCCACGGTGGCGACTGATCTCTGCCTGGATCCCAACGCTGACCCAGACTTGGAGACCCCCTGGGCCCAGCACCCTTTTGGCCGCCAGCTCCTGGAGTCTCTGTAAGGAGGACAAGAATTCCGATTATTATAGTTCTAATGGTAACTAGTTATAACAGGAGACGGCTATTTCCTTTCTTCCCCACAATATTGTGCCCTTAAACCAAGAGGCCACACTTAGATTCACTGAGAAATGTGGTAGTAGAAGCCATCACCAGTGTTATGTTTACATTTTTATTATTGTTTTCTGTTTTATGGAAGTTGCCCAGAATAGCCCCAGAGCAAGATGGGTGGCAAATAAATGAGATAGGTAGGTGGGTGGGTGGGTGGGTGGGTGGGTGGATGGACAGACAATGGGTAGATAAGGAGAGGTTTAGATATCAAGCCTTCCTGTTCTTAGGAGCAATCAAGTTAGATCCATCTCCCTTCCTGCCCTGAATATGAGCTGAAATATGGTCATATAGAAAGCTGCTGTGCGAGTGCACGCAACGTTCTTGCCCACTCTTACGGTTAGCAGTTGTGTTTACTTTTGTCATCAGCAGATCAGAAAAGTCAGCCTCTCTGTCCCAGATTTTAACCTTTAACTTAGCTGAGGCCTGTTTTCTTTCTTCTTTCCCTCTGCAGGTTGGCCCACTATTGCCAGCTCCACGATGTGCAGACCTTGGCTATGCTGTGCAGCGTCTTTGAGACTCAATCCAGACCTCAGGGAACCCCAAACCTCGCAGGCCTGGCTCCTCAGCACCCCTCCAGCCACAGTCGATACGTACGAACTGACTTGCATTCTTGCTCTTTTCCCTCCCAGCCCAGAGCATGGCCTTTGGGGAGACATTCTGACGTGATTCCCTCTCGTTTTGCCCTCAACAGCCCAGCTTTACCTCCTCTGGCTCTTGTTCCAGCATGTCAGACCCTGGACTGAGCACCAGCAGCTGGAACATAGGTAGGCACACATCTGCCACCTTGGCAGCACCCTGGAGGGCTTCACCTTTCTGATTTTTGGCATCCCAAAGATTCACAACCCTTGTGTAGGCTTTCACGAGAGGTGCTTTGAGTACCTCTGTTTTATAACTAGGTTTGGCATTTTTGAAAAGGAGAGATGGCGTTCTCTTTAAAGGCGTTCCAGATTAAATTAGCTAAAGGATTCATTAGTGCCACTAGCAATTAATTGATTAGGGACATCTGTCCACAGTTGCTAAAGTACAAAGATGTACTTCATGCCACTTAGTAGGTAGCCATTCCTGGAAGCAAGAAAGACTCTTCAGAAGAAATGCTTGCTGCCATCAAGTAATACTTAAAAAAAAAACAATCTGCTGAGTTAGGAAAAGGTAAGGATCACCTGCTGTCTGCCTAAAATGCACTCCAGAATTGCTTAGAAACATTTTCTTAGAAAGAACTCCATCTGGGATGGCATAGGGTCTCCTGCTTGAGCAGGGGGTTGGACTAGAAGACCTCCACGGTCTTTTCCAGCCCTAGGATTCTATTTTTGTATGTTTTCATAAAAAAACATGTCCTATTTTAAGGCTGAGCCCTTTATTTGGGCTAAGTGCTAAAAGGGCAGGATCATGACTTTTGGCCCTGGTGTGTTTGCTGCTGGGCTGGAAGGGGGATCTTCTGGCTGGTACCCCCCTTACTAAGACCAGCTAATCAGCTTTTGACTTTTGTAGCCAGCAAAGAGATGGAACACACGCTAGGCTGGACCGAATCTTCGCCTGACGACTTTCGCCTTGGGAACTTGGCGTATGCTGATCCCCGGGACCGAGAGAGAGACCAGCATGACAGGAACAAAAGGTGGGCGGGGCCAGTCACCATCTACTTCCTGACTGGGTGGAGTCAAGGGGCCAAGGACCCCACCCTTTGGGATGTTGCAAAGAGTTATAGTTTCAAACATCATGATTTGAGGACTCTCTACGCTGGGGTGGGCAACTATGGCAAGCTTATGACCTATGGACTTCAACTCCCAGAATTCCTGAGCCAGCCGTCATAAATGTGAGTCAGTTGCCAGGCATGTGAATTTTGATCACTCGAGCTGGGGGATGCTGCAAAAGCATTAACTATAAAGTTTGTAACTGAAAAATGGCCATAAGTAATTTTTTTTCCAATGCCATTTAACTTTGAACAGTCACTAAATGAACTGTTATAAGTTGAGGACTACCTGCATAAGCTTGTTCACAGAAAAGAAAACTGCTAAGGCTCCTTCACTCGTGCAGAAGGACAGAAACCGGGCAAACAGAGACCTGGTCGGCAAGAGTAGCCACAGAAACCCCGTCAGGGACCTAAAGGCCCGTTTGTGGATCTCTTTCGCCAGGCTCCTGGATCCGGCCAACACGCAGCAGTTTGACGACTTTAAAAAGTGCTACGGAGAAATCCTGTATCGCTGGGGGCTGCGAGAGAAACGTGCTGAAGTCCTCAAGTTTGTTTCCTGCCCCCCCGACCCCCATAAAGGAATCGGTGAGTTGAAGCCTCCGGGTCTCCGGCAGCCTCCCTTTGGCGCTCCATTCAGAAAGCCAGAATTCAGATTGGCCAGCCCAGAGGCATCTGTACTTGCCAGGCTTGTGCAGTGGGATATATTTTGGAGTCTGGCCTTGGTTCAGCAGAAACAAAGAGCAGTGGGATCCTGTGTAGGGCTCCACTGGGGCTTTTAACCAGGTTTTATTAAATAAACCACATTGGCCCGACTCGGCCCAGAGCAAAGGGGCAGAAAGAGAATCAGGGGCTAGAGGACAAACTCCAGCAAGTGGCTGGATTCTGCGCAGCAGCACTGAGGAGTCATCGGAAACAGTCGGTTAACCCATCAGAGCTATTTTTACAGAATGAATGCCTCAAATCCTCTTGCTCTGTCACTCTCTGGCATTTTAGTCTCTAAGGACTACGGGCCGCACAGTTTAAGAATAGAATAGAAGAGAGCTTGGAAGGGACTCCCACCACTGGCCTTAATCCCGTTGTTTTACATGGGCTCAATGGCGGCCCCCCCCTCCAATCACCCCTCTCTCTTCTCTTGCTCCCCCTGGCAGAGTTTGGCGTCTTCTGCAGCTACTGCCGAAGCGAAGTGCGCGGCATTCAGTGCGCCATCTGCAAAGGCTTTGCCTTCCAGTGTGCCATCTGCCACGTGGCCGTGCGGGGCTCTTCCAACTTCTGCCTGACCTGTGGCCACGGAGGGCACACCAGCCACATGATGGAATGGTTCCGCACCCAGGAAGTCTGTCCCACGGGCTGTGGCTGCCACTGCTTGCTGGAGAGCACTTTCTGACAGCCCACCTTCAGGGGCTGACTCGGATCCCTCCCAGGCCAGGTGATCTCCAGCTGAGCAGCAAGGAAGGTCCCAGGTGGCTTCCGACATGGATGGCCAGGGCACTCTGGGCAGAAGTGAGGTGTGCGGTGGCTGGCGGTTCCCTAACTTTTGGGGAAGGTTCTTCTGTGCTAGCAGAGCGCAAGAGGAGAGACAGCAGAAGCTGAAGGACAGCTTGGTGTGCTGAAAGGTTCACAACAGAGGGATGGAGTCTCCCCCCCCCCCCCAAAATATGCACTGGGAAGCCAATGTTTCTAGAAGACCTTCTGTTCAGTTACATTACTGTTGCTTCTTTGGACAAACCTCTTAAGATCTTGATACTTATACGAAGAGATCGAACAAATCATTTTTACCAAGACACAGAAAACTCTTCTGTCTTTGCAGTGTAGGTTGCTTGAATGAATTAGCATGTCCCTGGGGAGAAAGGGAGTCTCCCACTGCAGCATGGACACCGGGGGCATTGGGGAGCCTTACCTGTCCTGTGGCAGGTGTTGACTTTCCTCCTCATCTGCCACGTAAAATTACCCTTTTTTTCCAGAGAGGTTGAGCTGTAATTGCTTCGTGGGAATGGACTCGTTTGACAAACGTGGGAGCAGATTCTTTTAAAAAGAGAAGGTCTTGGATTCCGAAACGGCAGGGCCAATATTTGGCTTTGGATTAACGGTTTCAAGACTGAGCTGTCTGTGTTTTGGGGGCTGAAATGCACTTGAACCTGGTGGAACCGATGGGGGGGGGGGGAAGCCATACACCATATAAATCCTTCCTGGTACCAACAGGAGCCTGGACTGAGCCCTCCTGCTTTGATCCTTCGGTGCCTGGACGTAGGTTTGCTGACCCTCTCTGAAGCATAGAGACTGTCGCAGTTTCCTTCAAGCCATGAAGCTGAGGAAGTGTATTTTTGTATATTCACTTAATAATTAAGAACATTTTATAAAGGTTTTGTGTTCTGCAGCCTTTGAAGTTATTGGCAGATTTGGGGGAAGATTTAAAGTCCCCTCCTTCCCCTCCCCTTCCGTTCCCTCCCTCCATATTAGCTGTCTTTTATTGCATATATTTATGATTTATGAAGGCCCATTAGTGCTCCTTTCAGCAAACTGGTCCACGGGGCTCTTTCTGTATAGTAAGAGATACAAAAAGAGGCCAGGAATGGAGCAGTGGCTTATCCTCACCAATAGATGGTAGCAGTGAACTTGTGCCTGGAGTGGTGGAGTTGCAGTAACCTTTCCACGGTTATCAAGAGATGCACACCTGTGTGGACACGCGCAGTTTCCCTGCAGTAAGGAGTAAGGAGCGAGACCGATTTGAAATAAATCCTGGTTCCAGGGCCCCATCGAATAAATTGTACCTTGCGTAGAATTTTGTAGGAAGCCCAGGAGGCAGCCTCTCGCAACCTGCCCGTTGCCAAGAGCTCGAATGTTGATCACCTGACCCTCGGGATACTGCAAAAGTGGTACGTATGAAAAACAGCCGCAACCCACTTGTTTCAGCGCCTTTGTAACTTTGAACGGTCACTCAAGGAAGGCTTGGAAACCGAGCACTGCCTGATTATGAAGTCTGCAGAAAACAGCTCCAAGCTTTTTTTAGGATTCATTTTGGCATTTACTGGGGTGGGTGAATTCCTACTTCGAAGCAGCAGGAAGCTGCCTGCGATTCAACCGTCTCCCAATGGAGCCTCCTCTTGTCTGTGTGTGCATGTTTTATTTATTTGTTAAATTTGTCTGCGGCCCCATCTCACTCCCGCGACTCCTTGACTTTCGTGGGCCGAAGTTGTGGAATCGATTCTTTGCTCAGGGGGCCCCAGAGAACAGCTTGCAGACGAGCCTTGGACACTTGGAGAAAGGCCTTGCGATGCTCCAAACCTTCTGGAAGCTTCCTATTCCGGGTCTTTACTTTGTAGCTGTTGGCTACTACCGGGGGTCCTCGACTTAACGACTAAAATGGAACCCAAAATTTAGGTTGCTAAGTGAGTTTTGCCCCGTTTTACGACTCTTCTTGCCACATTCGTTAAGTGAATCACTGCGGCTGTTAAATTAGCAGCACGGTTGTTCAGTGAATCTGGCTTCCTCATTGTTTTTGCTTGTCAGAAGGTCGCAAAAGCGGATCACGCGATCCAGGGACACGGCAACCGTCACAAGTATGAACCCCCGTTGCCAAGTGTCCGAATTTTTGATCAGGTGACCCTGCGGAGGCTGCAAAGGTCGTGACTGAGAAAAACGGTCCTAAGTCACTTTTTTCAGTGCCGTTGTAACTTCGAACGCTCGCTAAATGAACTGTCGTAAGTCGAGGACTTCCTGTGTTTTGTTCGTTGGTAGGCTGAAAACCACCCGAGTCCCATTTTCAGAAAGGGATTTTTGTTTGGTTGTCCCTTTCTTCTTTAACAGGGCATTCCTGATGGTTGTCCAACGTTGCAGGCCTTTTCACGGAAGGGCAGCCAAAGGGAGGCAGCCTTTCCCATTGCCCAACCGGCCTTGGGAGTGGTGGGTGGGTGGGGGAGACAGCCATTGCCAAATGCAGCCTGCCTGCCTTGCCACCCATTGCTACGGTCCCCACCCGGTTTCCTTTGTTCTCGCCCTTGTCTGATGGGCAGCCTGACAGAGCCTTCAGGGCAAGCAATAAGCATTTCAAAATCAAAACTCTTGGAAGGAGGAGATAAAAGGAACACGATTGCGATGACCAGATAGGACAGGATAGGTTATAGAAAGGAGGGAACTAGCGTAGAGGCAGAGGTACATTTATAATTGTGCTTAAAATGCCTGTAAAGGAGATCAGAAGCCACTTCTTTCTTTTTCCTTTCTCTTCAATTTTTCTTTTTCCCTTTCTTGCGTCTTTAGTTTTCTCTTTGGTTCCCCCCCCCTTTTCCCATTGCTTTACGTTAGTTTGCGTGACTTTTATCTTCTATTAAAATCTTTAATAAAAATTCTACGGGTTAAAAAATAAAACGGCAAGTGGGAGAAGAAACCAGGTGAATGCCAAGGGAGCAGTCTCCAAACTTTGCAACTTGAGGGCCTGGCTGGAGGGGGGGGGGAGAGGGGAACATGGCAGCCCTTGCGTGGGTGGCAGGCCGGCGTGCATGCGCTCGAATGCCTCCTGACCCGCTGCTCATACAAGTTGAGTGCGCGCACCCGTGCCCACTCTAGCCAGCCACTCATGCGGCCCAATTCTGAATAGGCCACGGCCCTGTGCAAAAGGAGTATGGGAAGGAAGCTGGTTTAATTTAAAGTCATTAGCAAAAAGGTAGCCTCTGCTCTGAAAGATACGCAAACAAAATCTGTTCTGGAGTGGTTCAGATGATACAGCCCTGGTGTTACACTTAATAATAATAATAGTAATAGTAATAATAATAAAGTTGGAAGGGATCTTGGAGGTCATCTAGTCCAACCCCCTGCTCAGGCAGGAAACCCTATACCATTTCAGACAAATGGCTGTCCAGTCTCTTCTTAAAAACTTCCAGTGTTGGAGCATTCACCGCTTCTGGAGGCAGGTGGTTCCACTGGTTAATTGTTCTAACTGTCAGGAAGTTTCTCCTTAGTCCTAGGTTGTTTCTCTCCCGTAGAATTTTTATTAAAGATTTTAATAGAAGATAAAATTGCTTTTTGTTGCTTTTTGTCCTGCCTTCAGGCGCTTTGGAGAAGAGCTTGACTCCCTCTTCTTTGTGACAGGTTTGGAGCTGGTGAAATTAAAGTGTCTTATTTGCAGAGCTAAAAGTGGATCATGCTGCTAAGTGAAGCCCCAAAACAGGATCCTAAGAACGGGGTTTACACCAACAGGGTCTCCTGCTTGAGCAGGGGGTTGGACTAGAAGACCTCCAAGGTCCCTTCCAATTCTGTTATTTTATTGTTCTTCCTTTCCCCAATACAGAATAGCAGTTGGAAAGGACCTGGGAAGTCTTGTAGCCCACCCCCCTGCTCAAAGCAGGAGACCTTGTTCCAGAGGCGTCCAACCTTGGCAACATTAAGACTTGTGGCTTCAGCTCCCAGAATCAGCTGGCAAAGAATGTCCCCTGCACAGTTTTCATAACAGAAAAGAGCTTTTCACGGAGAAGAGAGTTTTGGAGACATTTCCCATGCATTTGGGATGAATTTTCATGGGAATCCAATCTGAAGAGTTTTGGGCTGATTCAGTGATGTAAATCAAGTGTGGTGTGGGTGCGTGGGTGTGTGTTTAATATGCATCCTCCAAAAGTCAGTAAATTCTCTCGTTTTCTTTAAATGCCAAAATAAGACATCAAATAAGCTCCAAGAGGCCTCCTTTTTAATAGCACGGCGAAGGTCGTCACAGCCAGTCATCGTTTTTTCTTCACAAATCTGAGTCTCTTTTGCAAGGCTTATCAAACTAAGAGGACGGGGTAAATGCAGATAAGGCTCCCCCTCTGCCTATGAAAATCGGTCAAGTTTTTTTTTTTTTAGTCTTTTGTTAAGTGGGACTCTCTTCTAAATTGCTCACAACGTTCAGGGTGATTCTGGCCCACAGTTTGAAATCCCCAGGTTATTAGGCAGCAGTTATTTCATTTGCTTGCCTGTTTCCCCCCCTCCCCCCCAATCTGTCAAACATTTCTTGGAATTTCTGAAAAATCCGCTGGAAAATTTACTACCTTCAGCCCAGATAGAGTCCCTTTAAGAAGCCCAGCACACTTAAAGAACAGGAAAGGTCTCTTTCTCAGTCATTCCTGGGCTTTTAAGGGGTTTCTTAACTTTTAAAAAAATTGAAGAGGGGGTGGGACGCTCTCAGTCACCCTGTAAAATTTAGAAAAGAAGTGGAGCTCAATCCCAAACAGTGAAAGCTAATCACGCTAGCCATATGGAATGGAGACCCCACCCCATTTCTGAATGCCTGGCAGAATTTGTTTAAATCTCTTGTTCTAAGACTTCAGCTGCCCAAATCCGGTCCAATGCATTGGAGGGCACCTGGTTGGGGAAGGGCAGTGCTGGTGGTTAGGCCTTTTCCTGGTCTTCCCTGAAATGGGGAGGGGAAACGGAGGGGGAACCGGGGTGGAGCCAGAAAGGGGGAACGGGGACCATGTTCAGCTCTTTCTGGTGGGCCTCTTGGCTTCCTGGTGCTTCATCCAACGCCGGGAGAATCAGAAGTACGTCTCAGCTGGAAGCAGAAGAGGCACTGCTGGTCCGACGTTTGGGATTTCTGGGATTCTGTGGAAGAACTGCCTGAGCGACTCCTAGGAGATAAAAGGGGAGAGGGGTGCCAAGATAATCAAGTCATCAGATAATCAGACAGTCTCTATGGGGTAAGAAACCTGACAGAGTCCACTCTGGGCTGCAGGCCTTTCTCCATCCCAGACAGAAATCTGGTATGCATCAAAATTATGAGAAGTGATAGTACTGCTTTTTAGTGCACTGGTCAGGCCACATTTGAAATACTACATGCAGTTTCTGTCACCACAATACAAAAAAAAAAGACGTTGAAACTCTAGAAAGAGTGCAGAGAAGAGCAACAAACATGATTAGTGGTCTAGAGAGTAAACCATACGATGAACGGTTGCAAGAACTGGGTATGTCTAGTTGAATGAAGAGAAGGACTAGAAGTGACACGATAGTCTTCCAATATTTGAGGGGCTGCCACAGACAAGAGGGGGTTCACCCTA